CGCCCAAACGAGAGAATACTTGAAACCACTTTTGAGGAAGTTGAAGAACAAGTCTCTCCCGGAAGATATAACTGACAGTTTAACAGAGATTGTTAAACATTTACTGCAACGTAACTATATACTGGTATGTACACGTAGCTGTATATCTGTCTCCGCTAGTAATTATAAGTATTATACATTGAATATTTTATAATAACATATTACTCTTATTTTACAGGCTAGCGACGCCTATTTGCGAATGGCTATAGGTAATTCTCCGTGGCCTATCGGCGTAACCATGGTCGGTATCCACGCGCGTACTGGAAGAGAGAAGATCTTTTCGAAGAATGTTGCTCACGTTCTGAATGATGAGACACAGAGGAAGTATATCCAAGCAGTCAAGAGGTTGATGACTAAGTGTCAGGAGTACTATCCTACGGATCCTTCGCGTTGCGTAGAATATTCAAAAAATTGAATACACTTAGATAAAAGTGTATGTGATAATGTACAAAATGGAACGGAATATATGTTAAGTTTGTATTTGTAGGGATTTTATCGTAAGATAACGTAATAATGAATAACATAACATAAATTAACATAACTATATATCTTATTACAAGATATAAAATGTTAATAATTTATAATTTTTTAAATAACTAAATATTAGGATTATAGAATAATATTAATATAGTATTAAGATTAGGATTATAAGATAATATTAATATAATATTAGGATTAGGATTATAGGATAATATTAATATAATATTAGGATTATAGAAATTAATAGGATAATATATTGATAAATAGAATGATTACTATATATCTTATTACAAGATATAAAATGTTAATAATTTATAATTTTTTAAATAACCAAATATTAGGATTATAGGATAATATTAATATAATATTAGGATTAGGATTATAGGATATTAATAGGATAATATATTAATAAATGGAATGATTTATCATACATATCTATTTAATATACTTTTTGTAATAAACTTAATTATAAAAATGAAACTAACTAGTGAAACCTCCGTTAGATTACCGCGGTCGGAAGTGAATTACAGGCAACGTGGGACACGAGGACCATTGCAGTGTCAGATGCAGCGACAGGATGGCTCGTGGACCCTGGACACGCGTGGGACGACGCGCAATGGTGAGCGCTCAATTTAGACGCTCATATAGTAGACACAAAGCGTCACTTTACGTCGGTTGCATGCACGTAGACGTAAATCGCATTGAGTCTGACGAGAAGTAAAATAAGAACTGGAATTTGCAATTCGCCGGAGTTACGTAAGAATGATGCAACCAAAGAATTTAACTCTGAGATTATCGCAATAGTTCAACGAGTCAAGCATTTCCATTTCTTTAAGGCTCCTGGGGAGTCGCATCATCCATCTCTTTTTAATAACGTCAGAAGCGAGAAAACGCATGCTAAAATTTCCTGCAAAATATGTCGAGATAAACAGATATATCCACAAAACGACATTTGCGATCGATTAAATACACCTCTAAAATACTCTGTACACTTTCCTTTTGTTCTAAAAATCAATAGATAATCGGAAAATTAATATGACAAGATAATGAGGAAATTAGGTTAGAAAAGACGATTGCACGTCACATTTATTTTATAATTATCTGTTGATTGTTAGAACAAAAGAAAAGTGTACGGAGTATTTTAGAGGTGTACTTAATCGATCGCAAATGTCGTTTTGTGGATATATCTGTTTATCTCGA